GCAGCAGTGCTGGCATTGGAGAAAATTTTGGGGGGTGACAGAAATCATCAGTCTACAACATCTGGGAATCTTTGTAGTAAAGGGACATCAGCTGTCTGGTGAAGTCCCGTAAAGGGATTTCTATAAAGGAATCTAGCGGGGTGATGTATACAGTAAGATTCTGTGTGATGGAAGGTATAAGCACATGGAATAAGGGCATTTTAAATGGGTAAAATAGTTTTAGATCATTTTTTGACATGTTTTATATTTCTAACTTTGCCATCCCTCTGAGATTTTACCATTAGAGCTAGAGTAAAAGGTCAGTAGCAGAATGAACAGATATATGAGAAAAGAATCCTAAACAACACATATTAAAAATATCAGCTTAATAGTTTCCTTGCATCAGCATATGTAATGTAAAGAGTGCAAGTGCTACGTACATAGTAGCATTCATCCCCAGCTTACTAAGACTAATATCTTTTATTTGTTTTAATAAGTTATACATGGGAACAGATAGGATTTTCTCAATCTATTCATAATTCAAAATAATTCACTGAAATTCTGCAAATGTGTCTTAAAATCAATATTATTTGTAAGTGGGCTCTGACAGATAATTTTAACTATATCTAAGTCAAGACAAGCAGGATAGCTTTCTTTGGATATGTGAGCCTCACACCTCTGATTGGATGAGTGTAAAGCTTTGAATCAAATTCCCACAGTGAATATTTATACTTAAGACTTAAAATGTTCATTTTATATCAATATTTTCCAACATGAACTTAAAATATAGTGTTTCTGCAAACATTCCTCCAGAAGGAGTCATTTGTTTGAACATGGTGAAAGCGTCCCAAAAAAGGTTGCCCACACAGCTGGAATAATTTTGAATAAAAATTCTGATGTATTTACCTACAGGTTGTATAATACTTGCTTTCCTCTCATAAAGGGTGCTGTTTGAGCCTGGTGAATAAGATTAATAATCTGTTGCCAAATTCTCCATTCTTCAGGATCAGCTTTTTAAGCATAGCTCAGAAATTGCAAATATTTAGTAAAAGGCTAATTGTGTAAGAAACCTTTTTGTGGTCTAAAGTGGCTTGTAAATAGTAGAGACAAGTCTTCTGTCTTACTTGGGTGGGAAAATACAACAGTATTTATTCAGAGAAGCAGAAAAAGTACAAAAGCGGCTAAAATGATCTTTTGTGGGAGCTGTCACTAAACTAAAATATGACATGTGATTTCAACTAGATTTTTTTTTTCTGCTATAATTAACTTTGTCTTTTGACAACTCCTTCTGAGGCATATATTAATTAAATATGGGATAATGAATAGAGACAACTAGATCACCAGGGTATAAATCAATTGAGGGGTTCTGATGATACCATAAACCACAAGAATGGAGTATGTGCAGTTAATAATAACATCAAAAGACTGTGATTGATTTGGAACTTAGCGATCCTTCCACATTCATTATTATTTTATATAAAGCATAAAAACGAATGGTGTTTTATGCAAAGACAAGATGATTTTTCTCCCCCGGGTTCTTTGATAATGGAGAAATTGTCATTGTTCACAGTTAAAGAAAAAGGCCATGCTTATTATGTGGAGAGGGATGGCGGAAGATCCTTGTGTGGTCACAGAGAAGCCCTGAGACTAAGAACAGTTTTACTGTAATTATTTATATACCTTCTATGGAGAATTTGGGGCCAGATTTTCTGGTGGTTTAAAATGCTGCTGCTGCTTGCAATCCACTGAAATTTTACTTACTGATTTTTTTTTTTATTTTTTTTTTTTTCCCCCACCCTCAGGTTGTGCTCATTTGCCAGATTCTGTTCCATGGAGTCTAAGAGCTTTTCCCTCTAAGTGACTTCAGATTTTTTTTTTTTTTCCCAGAAAAATAAAACCATACACTTAAGTATGCTTAAAGTATATAAATGCTAATAACCTGTATTTATCAATGGTAACATTAAGGTCAGACTGGTGGATTTCCCTGTAGTTGTGCCTCTTGCACAGTAAATCTGGACCAAAGTGTGCTCTCTATGGTATGACAATAGTTGTTTTAGAAAATTGCATGGGGATAAATATATGTTTGTGTGTGCATACACACACACATGCACACACATATATATGAAAATGAACTTTTGTAAAATAGCATTTGATGAAGACAGTGTGCCTCTGGGTTATGCCACGCACAGCTTACATATTATTCCTTACATACTCAGTGATTTCCTTTTTAAATTTATTGGGCGTGGGAAGATAAGGTGGGGGAATGTGGGATGTTTTGATTCCTAATTCAGAATGTTCAATGGGAGAAATTTTCAGGCAGAAAGATGAGCTCATGCTCCTTTTAGCTAAGCTGTGATACTGTCAGAAGTGCATATGCAAAGGTTTTTAGCAGATAAATGGGGCATTGGTCAAAGTCTTGTTACTATTTCTTAATAAACGTTTCAAATATGGTCAGGTATGTCTGGGCTATGCAACAGACTGTGAAGCAAAGAACTAGAAGATGGCTCTGTAATTGCATACCAGGCACAATGGTGGAATGTGATTTTTGGCTCTTTGATCAGATACAGTGTTTAAGAATGAAGAGTCAGGTTTGAATTTGTCAGTTAATGCAACTATCATCACCAACTATAAATAAATGCATTAACTTAAAGTCTCTGTCCCCTACTGACCAGCTGCTTTCCCCAGGCTAGTCTGCAGAGCTTTCTCGCAGCTCTAGCATTCATTCTTTGCCGGTAACTTTTATTATAGATAGTAACTATAGTGACAGATATTGAAAAGAAAGACCCCGTAATCCTGGAGGGGATGTGAGCCCTGGAAATTGTTGGCTTTGCAGTTTGGCACTTGCTGCTCCTCTAAACATCGCTCATTTTGACACTGATGCTGGCACCCGTGAATCTGCCATGTTTTACGTGCATGAGGTTAGAGGCAGGATGTTGAGGAGAGGCTTTGGGCACTGGAAGGAGAACCGTGGTGGTGCAGGTATGAGATAGCGTGCCAGCTCCAACCCCTTGTGGAAAGCCAGGCTGTGCTCCGAGGCCAGGAGGCAGCCACCGCCTGCTCCAGCACAGCCTTGTCTGCACAGGGAGCGGCAGGCTGCTCAAGGAGGTAAATCCCAACACATGTAATAAGTTCTGAGAAAGGTGTTTCCAAAGCTGGAAATGCACTGGAAGCAGAGGAGGACTGTCAAACATGCAGCACTGTTTGTCCAGCAATAGAAAAGGAGGATCAAAGACTCCAGGGGCGTTTTGGTTTATCTTGGCTGCCTTGCACTCTAGGTACATTTTAAAAGCAAGTTCATTTATATCTACCTTGCAGTTATAATTGCATGCACAAATACTCCAACATAGCTGGCTGCCTCAGGAGCTTCTATTTCCATGTAATCTGCTCTGAGTCCTAAAAGTAACCTGCAGATGGTTTGGGCTTAAAGCTGGCTTCCAAACACTTGGGTAAACACAACCATCAGTGGTTTTTAGAAATGTCTATCTGTCCATCTAAAATGTAAATTTGCTGCTAAGGGCACTGTGTATAAGTAAATCACATTTTAAACATCAAATCCATTTTATTTGCTGAGGCTTTGGGCACATTTTAATACTGCAATGCTAGCATTTTAAGTGTATTTTTGTGAGGCCTCTAGAGCGCTGTCACAGATAGGCACCGTATAAATAACATTTATTGTTATTATCATTGTATGTCGTATTCACTCTGTTTTGCTACCATTAATAAACCATTCAGGCAATGTTGTTGTAATGTATAATATTAGCAGCAGCCTCCTTTGGGAGACATATAACTGGGTACTTAATATTCTAGCTGTTTCCTGGGCCATCTCTCCACAGGCGCAGACGCTACGGTGTGTTCAAAGTTCAATATAAAAAAAATGGGCTGGCTGTGCAAAGATCACAGCATCTTATAACACGCCTCACAGTAACTCACACCGTGGCCGTTGCTGTCAAAATTCTGCTACACTAGATAATAGTAAATTAGTGAAATAGCTTGTAATTTTGGGAATGCTATTTTGCTCCTTTTAAATTTGTCACTGCTCAAAAAAACCCCACATTCACTGTGGTATCAAATTCATCCCCCTCCTCTTCAGCCTTCCAGATAAGGCTGTTGCCTTGCAGACCTCTTGTGGGGCTGCCTAAATTATGGAAAAGACTGGTGTTAAGGGAAAGCGTAGGGCAAAGCCCAGGGCAGTTTGGGGGCTGTATTAATCTGTGCTGAGGATCCGAGCCTTATGAATATCCTCCTTAATGGCTTGCAAAGCAAAATCGCTGTGACCTTTTCTTAATAAACAGTACACAAAACCCAACCATGCTTAAAATTGCACTCTTAAAAACCACAAAAACAAACAACGTTTTTGGATAATGATGATGATGTGAGTATAGAAGAAAGAGAAAAGTATGTAGGTGTGAAAGCACTGTTGGATTAGTGGGTGGCTTTGCCAGCTGGGGAGGAAAGATGGGGGAAGCATCCCTGCTGCAGGGCCTCCACACCATATAGCTGCCAAATGCTCCATTGGCTCACAGGGCAAAACATATGGGCTGGCAAGTGCCCCTGAAGGGCACTGCTGGCCATGAGGTCCTAGGGCAGGCAAGGGAGGCTGCTGTCAGTGCTTGGCCCCGTAGGGCCAGTCATAGAATCATAGAATCATTTAGGCTGGAAAAGACCTTTAAGATCATCCAGTCCAACCATTAACCTACACTACCAAGTCTACTCTAAATCCATCAAGGGTAGACTAGACTAAACCATGTCCCGAAGTGCCACATCTACCCGTTTTTTGAACACTTCCAGGGATGGTGACTCCACCACCTCTCTGGGCAGCCTGTTCCAATTCTTGACCACCCTTTCCGTAAAGAAATTTTTCCTAATTTCCAACCTAAACCTCCCCTGGCGCAGCTTGAGCCCATTTCCTCTCGTCCTAAAAAATAAAAAAAAAACCCCAGAATAAAGACTCTTTTATAGAAGAGATAAAGCAGTTGCAGTTCTCGCCTTGTTCACTGAAGGAGGAAAACAGATTTTATCCATCAGTGGTGCTCATCGGGTTCTTCTTTCAGGGGTGGAATAATTTCTCCTGTCTCTAAAATTCTGTCCCCTGGGAATATCCGTGGATTTGACATAACACCACCATGTGGCATTTTCATGACGTGGTACTTTAGGTAGTAGAGTAGTCCCCTCTAGGGGGGTGGTTTCTTCCTCTAGTCTTGTACACCTTTTTTGTGTTGCTGTTTTCCCTCTTGGAACCTGTCTTTTAACAGTCCTGCCCCTGGTTGTGATGTATTCACCTTTGCTATCCCTCTGAGGGTTTTCTCACGCCTCTTCCTGGGCACCCTGAGTCATGGCGATGTGGCTGGGATGTATCGGAGCTGGGCTTTGGCCACAGCATGCCGGCAGCTAAGCTCAGCAGAAGAGGAGGGCGCTGACGGCGGGCAGCCTCAGCAGCAGCCGGCATCCAGGTAAGAACACAAGCCTGCGGCTCCAATCGCTTTTTAGCTCTAGACACACTTTTCTTCCCTTGTTGCCTGTCCTGCTCTTACATTTTTCCCCTCTGGGAAATAAAACCTTACTGACACCAATAACATGCAAAAAGCCAGCATGAGCTGTTGGTTTGGAGGGCCCCTGTGCTGCACCCCCAGCGCTGCCTGCCAGCCTGTGGAAGTCTTGCTGGGGTCTGCAGCCAGCTCACGGCACGGGATGTAGCTGGTGTCCTGCAACTGAAACGCCTTCTTGAAGGTAAGAGTGCACTGCCACCTCCTTCCCAATGCCATCAGCAGAGCCCTGTGGTCTTTCTAGCAACTGATGCGTTTTTCCAGTCTTTCGTCACTCATGCCACATAAAGCTTTAGATGTCATTTGCACACTCATGCATTACTTGTTTAATGGCCTCTCTGGGACTGATTGTTCCATCTCTTTGAAGGTAAACTGTTAACTTTTCTGTCTAATTATGTGATCATCGTCTTAGTCCATATTAGACCATATAAAAGTCCTCCCAGCCCTGCATAGCCTAGGAGAAGTGTTTCCTTGCCTTTTATTGGTGGGAAACTGCATTTCAGGGCAGCCTGGCTAGCAGGTTTTCAACCCGCACACAGGATGGGAGGGCAGGGGGGTAGGAAGCATACCCTCCTCAAGGTCTAGCCCAGTGCCCTGCTTCATACACAGACAATTCCATCTGTGGAGGAATCTGAGTAATGGGCACGTAGTAAGGCAGCCATCTGAGACTGGAAGGATTAAATGTGGTGAAATGATGTTGTAAATGTTCTTCATGGTTTTCTTATGTTCATTTCACTGTGTGACTGCTATTGATAGGCACCTGCCTCTTGAAAACACAAATAACCAGCAGACCAACCCATGGCAATCTACCATTTCCTGCCATAGGTTCAGCTGAGTGCAGTCGTGTTACCTCATGAAATCTTTGCAGCCAGACAATGATGCCATTTTGACCAGTGGTCCGAAGTGCAGTGGAAATTTTTGGGGTTAATGTTTTATATGTTCCCTAAATGTTCCTGTACATTTGCAGGGCAGCTAATGCTAAAAAAAACCCAGATAAATTGATTTTAAAAAGAAAAGACTTAAATAAATTAAAATAGAGAACAATAACTGAACTATATACACAATATAATTAAGTTCCAAAAGCAATCATGGATTTCTTCTTAAAGATTACAGGAGAGAGGAATGCAGGTTTTTAAGGATCATGGACATCACTGCGTCAGCTCCCTCACAGAAACTGGCAACCATTTAATAGACACCAAGTCCAGAAAGGCCCAAAATGACTGAGATTGCCTGGTGTGTTTCCTAGGTACTAAGCCAGATTGTATCTCATGATGACAGAGTTCTTTTAAATAGTGTCCTGCTAAAGACTTGGTCCCAAACCAGGCTGGAGGGCTAGTACCAGTGTGTCTCACTTGGATTTCTGCAGTTCAGTCACTCACTGGATACAACCTGTCATTCTTCCTTGGTAGCATGGAGATTTTCTGTGTGATCAGTTGATGGGATCCTGAGGGTATTAAAGAGGAACAGAATATGGCAAAGCATTAGGAAAGGTGATGGGGCCTGAGTTGATCTGTAATTCAGGTATTTCTGTATGTGCATAAAAAACTTGCTTCAGTACACAGGACAGATGAGCTGTGCATATCTTGTTTTTTAGCAGAGCTTCCAGTTCAGTCATGTATTTTATTGTGAGAGTAACACTGTCTCCATTCATGACCACTACACAGATATGGTGCAGAAAATAAATACCTGTTTTTCCCAGTGATTCTCTGTGTGTCAGATCTGCCAGCATGGAGATGCTGCACTGGTGTTACGGGTCAGGCCTATAGTATCATCTTTATTCCAAAGGAAGACAGGAAATGTTACAATATTGGAATAAGACCCTTGGCTTAAAATGTTAAGACTGCTGGAATATCAGAAGCAGTCCGGGTGACACTCTCTCCCACCGAACTAAACACAGGAACAGAGATCACATATCCCTCTTCGGTGTCTGTGTGCTGGCTGCTGCATCCTTTCAGACCCTCGCTGACCCAGGCTGTCACTTGTAGAAATCCCAGCGTAGTGTGTAGGCCTCACATTGTTCTTTGTGCTTATTACTTTATTTCAGCCCTTTCTTTTTCAATTTTGGGATTGACATGTGGCTCTGGTGGTGATGTGTAGTGTCATAAATAGGCACCCAGCGTGCAGACAGTTAGTAGCCTGGGAAATCAGAGAGTGAGCTGTTGCTCTTCCACTCCTCCCGCCTTTGCCCTAGGCTGTAAAGCTCGGAGAAAATGGTGTGAGTCCTAATAAGTAGAATTATTCATATATTTCATTATGCGTAAGAATATTATAAGTAATCTAGCCTATTTTTTCTTTAAAAATCTTTAAGAAGAGTGCCTGAATGGTAGCATTTCATCAACATTTGTTTTAGAGCTTTATGCAAAATGTTTGCAGGGTGAATCTGGCTCCCTGAAAAAATACAGTGCTCCAGGCTTTGATGGGCCCCTTCCTGAAAGCCCTGCAATGGACAACAAGCTTTCCTGGGACTCTTCACTGGTCTTTTTGGAAGCTGTGAGCTAATTACCCATTTGGGCTTCACAACAGCAACTGGGCCATGCGTTCTCCCTGGAGCGGGGAAAACCGCGATGCGGACGAGGGGGCAGCTAGAGGAGGATAGAGGGTAGGGAGAAAAGAGTAGTGAAAGCAGCTCATGGAAGTCCAGTCTTGGCTGCTACCTGTTGATAGTGAAGAGAAGATGAATCACCAGCTTAGGTCTGTGACAGGTTTCCTGAGATGAGAAAAAAGGGGCCCCGTAAACGCATGCAGCCTTCTGCCATCATCCCTTTAATAACCTGTAATATCGTAGCAGGATATTTTTGTCACACCGAATCTGATTGATGGTCTTGGCTATAAGACATTACAAGTGTAAAGTAAATTGACCGAGCACCTAAACATACAAATTATTAAAAGGAGGGGGGAGCGGGCTTGTGCCTCCTGGGGAAAGCAGGCAGGCTTTAGTTAAGATGATCCCATTTCCAAGTGCAATTTATAGTCTATTGACTTGCAGCAGTGTCTTTTCAGATGTGAGGAAATTGTCATACATTGCAAATGAGAAGCTGTTTTGACATCAGGATCGCGGAGAGTGCCAGGAAGAAATGATATCAATGCCTGGTCTGTTAAGGTTAAATGAAGTTGCATTGTTGCCAGCAGATAGGCATTCATTTCCTTTTCTTCCCTGCCTGTCCCTGTGTACAATTACTGTGATTAGGATGAGTAACAATGTGCTTCTGACACCCATTGTATTGACAGCTCGCCTAGTTTTTTCCACTCAAGTGGCACTAGTCATTACTTAAACACTTGGGTATTTTGACAGGGAAGATCCATGCCTGCCAGTCAAGTGTATCAATGACAAGGCGGCCTTAGCCCCTGGACACGTACCGCTGAATTAAAGCAGTCAAAGCCATCACTGCTGGAATATGATGAACCTTTTTAGAAACGGGGCTCTGGCAAGCCCGTAGAGGCACTGATGCACTTGGTCCGTTCTTCCAGCCTTCTCCACATATTACTGCTATTCATGCGCTCGTTTTTTCCTATGTACATTGTGATCTTTTGGAAGAAAGCATGATTGCAAAGTAGATTATTGTAGAGGCGAAAGGAGTCAAAATTGTTTTGGGCTTTTACATTTTAATTCGGACTATCCTGGAAAAGAGCACCAGTTAGCACAGGTAGGTCAGCCTGAAGGTTGAGCAGGCTAATGAAATGGGAAGGTGTCTTATTTGTTGCCGTGTACCCCTACAGCAGTTTTAGTGTTAGTGGCTGTTCTTTACTTCCTGCAGGTTGCATTTTAGGTGCTGTAGTACTTGGACCCACTGTTGAAGGAATAAGAGTGCAAAACAGCTGCATTTCATCGGTATGCCACATGGCTCCCACGATGCTAACAGTGTCCTACTAGCAGGGGCAAGCAAGCCTTCATCAAGCACTGCGGGCTACTTCCTCATCCAGCACCGGGTCCCTTTACTAAAAGGGGGCAGTCTTGCATATCTAGATACTGTCAAAAAAATGATAATGTGGGCTCGTGCAAGTAGAGGGATGTATATGTGTGACCAGAAGGCAGCCAGGTGGCTCTTGATGATGCTTTGCAAAGAAATCCAACAACTTGCAGGCTGATGTCATACCTAGCACCTTTCCTTTGGTTTGGCAGGCAGTCTTAAGCTCTCTATGAATGCCTGGAGAAGGCAGCTGCCCTGAAAGGGCAGCAGGGTGAATATATATATTAGTGCCTTGGGCGAAAGCACTCTTAAAATAAAAAATTTTGCAGCCTGAATATATCAAGTAGGAGAAGAGAGAGAGCTTTTTTGTCAATATGATCTAAGTTATGGTATATATGATATGGGAAACTTTACATATGGTAGATGATCTAATTACAGGCGGGTGATACACTGCATACCATATGTGGCATTTGTTATATACATTGGATTGTACACACTAGCTTCCTGTATTGCGTGCCCTGAGATCTTTTTCCAAATTATGTTTTTCATATGTTTCAAAAGCATACAAATATACCAAGGTGCCTCGATTTTTTTTTTTTTTTTTATTGTTAGGGGGCTTTTGATAGTTTGGGTTCAATTTGGAGAAAAACTTGTGAGGAATAAAAACCAGCTTGGTGCAGGAGGATTCTAAAAATTGAAAAAATATTTGTGCTGAAGATGAGAGGATGAAGGAGATAAACTAACATACATAGAACAGAAAAAAAAGTACCAGCTGTGAGTTTTTACCAGGTCTTATTCCAAAGTCTTTGAATACTTGAATAAGTGCTGGGGGCACATCCAGTTGCTTAAGTATTATTATGCTTTCAAAGACATTTAGGGCTTTGCAGATGTCCTTGTTTATGTGAAGAAATGAGTGTGTGCGCATGCACACAAAGAATTCGACAGGTTGTTCTCAGAGCTACTAAACGAGTACTCTGCAACGCTGCTGGATTTTCATAATCTGCTCCCCACCCCCACCCCTGCCCCCGGTGCTGAATGGTAATAATAAAGAAAATGGTTTGCAGATTTCTATTGGAATCAGAAAGGAGTCTAAGCTTTACTGGAAAATCAATTATGTAGTAGGCGAAGTACCCCATAATGTTCAGCAAAAAATATGCTAACATCCAGGTCAGTACATTGGAAAACACATTTATCATTATTTCCATGATAGCCTCAGCCTAGTGCGTCACAAAAGCAACCTCTGAACTTTCTTGAACCAAACAGTCAAATGGGCAACTCTGCCTACTTAGCATTTTAAAAATTTGCTTCTCTTCTAAGCCTTGAACTGGAAGCCTCATAAAATGGGCCCTTCATTCTCCCCAGATAGGTTTTAATAAACATTTCCTGTAGAGGAGACTTTTTGTTGCCTGACTTGTTTCTTTGACTCAGCTCTAAAAAGGGCTTCATATGGATCCTCAAACTTCTTTTGCCAGTGATTTGCCTCAGGAAACATTGACTATTAAATGTAATTAAATGTACAGAACATTAAATGTATATACTATCAAATTACAGCTTCTGGCAGTCACATAGGTTTCCTTTAAATGCTTGCTTCTTTACTTAGCTTGGTGTTTCACGTTTCTATTACAGATTATCATGGAGAAGCCAGTTATGGTCTCAGCAGTGTTGTGCTAGGTGCTGTACAAATACAAGGCTAGAGATGGTTAGAGACAGTCCTTTCACTAAGCGATTTACAACACAGAAAATATGTGTGTACACCTGAGCAAGTGGTTGTGCAGTGATTGCACGAGAAAACTATAAATGGCTCCACATCAATCAAAACTAATCTTACCTTTGCTCTGCTGGCACTTCTAAGAGCTAACAACCTTGGGATTTGGAATGCAAAGCAAATTTCAAATGAAAAACCAGTGAAGATCCTGTAGAGCTGTCCATGAGGAAGATGTATCACAACATGCAATATGGTGCACAGAACAGGTTAAATAGCCAAGGTTACCTCCTCTGGTGAAAGAAAACCTCTGCAGTCCTCTTCCTCTGCACATGGCCTACTGAAAAGAGACCCGAGGTTTCAGTTAGCTGCCTGTGTCCCAGCGTATATCCAATCATCCTGATGTGTCTCCATCCCCCACTTGTCTTTTTCTGCATAGGTTGTAAGCAGAAGTTGTCTTTGCTAAGTAGCTATACTGTTTTCAGTAGAATATTTGGAATAAACTAGGGGCATGCAAATTTGAATGGCTTGTTCTCTCAACTTTAAGGTAAATTATTAACATTGATAGGCCTTGCTAGACTTTATTCCCAGTGTCATTCCTCTACACAAAACAGGCACAGCACTGGGACACAGGTGCACCTGCAGATTCCTTCACTAAAAAAGGCGGAGGATTTCCCCCTTTCACTGCCATGATTTTTACCCCAGCTGCATTCACGAACTGACCACAGAATCTGTAGAAAAACAGGGCAGAAGGGACCATTGAAAGCAGACTTGCACTTTCCTCTGCCCCAAGCAGGCTCAGTGACACTTCTGTCATTCCCAACAGATGTCTGTTCAGTTAAGAGTTTAAAGATGTCCCTTTCTGGAGGCTTCGCAGCCTGTCCAGGCAATCTGTTGAAGGGCTTCATCATCCTTCCCATTAGAAAGTTTTTTCATGTCTAACCTTTTTTTCTCTCCCCAGAGTTTATGGTCATTCTTTCTTGGCTTATCCACTGTGAATGTGGAGAACAAGCAGTTCCCTTCCTGTTCGCAGAAAAATTTTAATGTATCTTGTTAGGTCCCACATCCGGTTTAGCCTCCGCAGGCTGAAGAACCCCAACTGTTTTGCAGCTGATGGCTTTCTCTCTATCACCTCCCTACGTATCTTGTGAGGCTTATTGATTCATCCATGTGATATTCTTTTCTGCAATGATAAAATTGGTTTGATAGTATTTTTTTATCCACTTTTAATGATGCTTAAGCATGCAGAGGATACAGTGTATCTCTTTCTATAGTCAGAAAAGCCAGTATCACCAACTTTCAATAAAGAACAGACCTTCCCACAGCCTCATCAATGCACTGATATCTTTGGCTAACAGAATCCTGAGACTTTGTTCTTGTTGATGGATGGAGGCAGAGTATACATGGATGAAAGGAAAATATCTCAGATCTCTTACTACTAATTGTGATCTTGAGAATATTCTGTAGCTGGAGGAAAAAAAGAAGGATTTGATGGAAGCCTATACATTTTTCTTTTATTCATGGCCTGGAATGGACTATTTCCTGTCCTGGCAGTCAAAGAAAACAGCATCAGTCCTAAAAAGACAATCTACTTAAAATAAATTTGTAATGAATTTCAGTGTATGGGGGGAACGGTTTTATGAAAATGGTGCCACTGCTGATGTTGCTCTTGGACACATGAGGTGGTTAACACACTTACCCAAAAGCGGGCCTAAGGCTTAGCGTGCTCAGGGGAAAATGGGAACGGAAAAGTTGATCTCTCTTTGCTTTTTGCTTTTCAGCAAAAAGATGATCTCTGTTCAAAATTTATTTTAAGTGTTGGAAGAAACAACAGCATAGCACTTTGTATTGGTGTGAGATGCCTGGAAGGTGACACTAACAGGTGTAATGCACTTGCCATAAGACAAGCTAATTATGGCTGAGAGGGGATCGGAGTCATAAAATTTGCCATATTTTCTTGATACATAGTAAGAACACAGCTATAAGGGACAGCCTCGAGATTATAGTCAAAGCTTATCTAAGGACATGCTTCACAATGCCTGAAGCTTGAAAAGAAAGCTGAGCAACAGGAATGGGTGAGAAATCTGGGTGGATTCTTTTGCACGGCACTGTTAAGTCCTGTGTGAGAAGTGCAAAGACGTTGTCTTGCTGAAGTTAAGCTGTGGAGGTGATGCTGCTATTATGAAATTTAGTTCTTTTTAATCTTGCAGCTTCTCGTAGGGAGGTAATTTTTTGTGTTATGTTGTAGTACACTGCCCTTCAAATCTATGTAGACAGTTTTTGGTGTCTTTTACTCCAAAATGTTTTAATCCTCACATTGATGTGGTTGCTGATGTACTAAGCCCTGTCAAAAACTACTTATGAGCTGTGTTCTTTGGTCTCTTTTATATGATTGTATAAAATGTGATTTTTTTTTTTTTTTTTTTTTTTTTTTTTATTGGTTTTTTTTTTTTTTTTTTTTTTTTTTTTTCAGCTCATATGTTGAGCTGAGACTTAAATCCTACCCTGCTGGTCCGAAGGGAGAATGGATAAATAATATTTTTTATAGTCAAGTTAAGTACCAGCCAGGTCTTGAGATTCTGCAACCACCTCTGACTGATATACTTATTTCCAGGACAGCCAGTAAACAAAGCTGCCTGGCAACACCCCAGGGACATGAGCACTTTTAGCATTCTTTACATGTCTAGGAAAAAGCTTGACTGTAGCAGTCAACAGTCTTGGGGGAAATGCTAAACATGGATATCTTCATTACTTTTCAATTAAGCAGCAAGCTTATGGATTGCAGGAAACCCTTGAGGTAGAAGTTGAGCTCTGAATGTAGCTCTCAGGGATCACATCGGGGAGAGTTTATCCCTAGAACAGTATACGTTTTGGGAAGATCCCAAAAATGTGATTTATTGCCTGCATGGTGCAGGGTGGCGAGAAATGCCTTGGGAATTAGTTTTATCTGACATTCTGGTGACTGATAGGAACAGGATAAGTGAGAAACCAACCCCCAGAACCACTGGTTGTTGTAATTTCTCACTCACTGTGAAAAAGTCACTATTCCTTTGAACCTGTGGTCCCATTAACTCGTGTTCTACTCCTATCTCCAGGTTTCTTAGTACCCAATATGATTTCATGGTTTTTAGAAACCTTTCAGCTTCTCATCCTCCTTGAAGAGCAATTCCTTCAGGGGTGTGTGGCATTACAGTGGCAAGATTCCCAGCAACAAGGCTGCATCCCCAAGTAGTTGTGGGGTGCCTCCCAGTACAGCTGGAAGTTGACAATGCTCTGAGTTGGTTAGGGAGACTGATCTGTTCATGGGGAAATATTTACTGTAACATCATCATTTGTGGAAGGAGAGTGGGAAGAAGGCCTCTCAACCCCAGTGTGGTCATTGCAAGGTATAGACATTGCGGGTTTTTTTTGGTGGCCCATCCATAATGATTGGCTTTTGAGGACATCCTCCAGGTATTGGTACAACCACAGCAAGAACAAAGTGGCATCTCGTAGAAGGCATTGGGAGAGATACATTCAGGCTGTCTAACCATTGCTGAGCTGTTACCAAGACCTGATAACCATCTGGAAGCCAGTGTGACTACTTTCCTGAAAGGCACTATTGCAATAGTTCAAGAAAGAGGCCCCT